ATCACCGATGGCCAATCGTTCCTTTCTACTTTGCCAAAGGTGGCTCAAAAATGTCTTCCCTAGTCTGTCTATCCTAACGATATCCCTTCCCGCCTTTTCAACCCATCTCCTATGCCCCACTACAGCTACCGTCCTTTCCCCTCTTTTCCATGCCTCAAACATCTCCCTGTCCGTTCCATCTATTTTTCCCAGCTCAGTCACGTACACTTCCCTCTCCTTCTTGTACAACGGACATTCCGCGACTACATGAACACGGTCTTCGCATTCGAAGCCGCAATCACATTTGAACTCGTCGTCTTCCTCGTCTACCGTCCTATGTCTTCGTCGACGTTCTCGAAGGCCTATGTCCCCGGTCCTGAATTTGACCTTAAGCTTTGTTCCTGCATCCATTGGTCCATGTAGGTAGTCCTTGAACCCTATTCCTTCCTTCAACATTCCGTACACTTCTAGACCCTCCTTATCCTTGGATTCTTTCCTCAGATTCTGTTCTTCTCTCTCGGCACAAGCAACAGATATCTTCTCCTTGAACCCCTGTAGACCCTCCGTTTCCAGCGTTTCATCTTCGTCGATGTCGAGCCCCTTCCATACGTCCTCTACAACCTTGACCCATTCCGTGGGTTGTCTACCCCTCTTTTTGTTTGCCCACTTCGCCTCCCATACAATTCTCGGCAACCTCTCCTCTCCCATCCCGCACATGCGATACTGCCAGGTCAGCTTCCTCGCGTCTCTTCCCGACCGTAGGGATTGGATCCCCAATTCTGCCCTCACGGCTGCATTACTTGTGCGCGTGGAGCATCCTAGGATGATTTTCGCTGCTTTCATCTGCGCCGCCTCGAGTTCTTTCACTACCTTCTTATTTCCTTCCCATACTTCTCCGGCGTACTCTAGCGGCGGTACGATTACGCTCTTCAAAACCGTCAATTTGATGCGTGTATCGAGGTGCCGGTTTGCGAGTATTGGATGCAGCTTCCCTGCTCGTGATTTGCCCTTTTCCGCTACCTTGGACATGTGTGCATTCCACGAGCAGTCTTTTGCGATCTCTACTCCGAGGTATGTGTACTGGTCCACTACTGCAATCTCCTCGATCCCCCACTTCCATCTATGTTCTACTGGTTCCTCCTTGTTCTCGTTGCATACCATGACGGCACTCTTCTGAACGTTGGCAGACAATCTCCACTTATCAGTAAACTTCTTCGCCGCGTCAATCTGCAGTTGCAGTCCCTCATCCGGCGCC